GACATTCAAGGTCCCAGGCCCCTGACAGGAGACTCAGTGCTTACCTACTCCCGATGTCCATCTGAGTAACAAGACCCCTACTGGCATAAAAACACAGTCTACCAAGCAAAGCAGAGGTCGGGAGGCACACGGAGAAGGAGATGGAGGCACTCAAGCACGGCCAACACACAGCTGACACACACTGACACAGACCTTCTGAAGGGCAAATGGGCAAAATATCTCAAGAACTTTAAGTAATTGGTAATTCCATTTCTCCAAATTTATGCCAAGTGGTTAATTAAGAATGTAGGGCAGAGACTTGGTTACAAGAATGTTCCTTTCAGTATTATTCATAACCTTAAAACTCTGGGACCAACATAAATAGACAACAAAAGGGTAACAATCAATTTAATCAAGAATCACATTCATAAGGAAGCATTATGCTGACTCATTATTAAGTGCTGTAGAATGCTAAGAAACTGGAAAATGTCCAAGACATAATATAAAGGCAATTTATAAAGCAGTATGTATAGTATAATATACAGTGTTTTAAGTTTCTATTTGCATAAAAAGGCGACTAACAAATTAAATGTTGAATGTGGTTATCTTCAAATTTTACTTTCATTTATTTATAGCTAACATTCCCTGCAATAAACTTGTATTATTTGTATTTATAACCTAACAAAGGATGCTAACACTTTAAACATAATTATTATATTTAAAAAATAAATAATTACATATAAAAATTAATTCGCTATCAGTCAACAAGCATCAGTAATTATATCTGAATGTTGAGGCTGTGGAAAATAGCTGGGGTGAAAATACAGCAAGGGCTGCAGACAAATCCACCTGCTTCAAAGTATGGCCCACTACAGTCAGTGTGGGATATCCATCACTATGGCAAACATCCAATATGTGCTTGCTGCATGAATAACCCTGTTTACATTCAGTCAAGCATTGCAAAGAAGCATTATGTTCAAACTTAAAAAGAAAAAAAAAGCTTGCCTCGTTATCAAACATGTAGAAATGCTCAAGTTCAAGTAAAACTCAAAGATACCTATATGCGAGTAAAGAGATCATGAACATTCATATGGATTCATTTGCACTGCACTTCACTATCCACAGCTCTACTTTAGAGTTATGATTCTCATCCCACCCTCCAAAAAGAAAAAGAAATAAAGAGAGGAGAGATGCTCGTACTGTACAGTGGTTTTATCTGGGGCAGCAAGACAGACTAGATGCCAGACTTTCCTCTGCCTTCTGTTCTGTATCAGCGAGCAATACTTCACTATACTTGACAAGTCTCTAAAGCAAACAAACAACTGACTGCTGTACAGGACTTGTTCCTAGGAATCGTTTGTCTTAAAGATTTATTTTCTTTTTAATTATGTATATAATTATATAGGGGGAGGTGTGCACATGCACACAAGTGACCAGAGTCCAGAAGAGGGAGTTGGATCCCACAGAGCTGAAATCACAGGTTGTGGGTTACCAGATACGGGTGCTGGGAATCAAATTTTGGTCCTCTGCAAAAGCAGGAAGTGGTCTTAACTGCCAAGTCATCTCTCCAGCACCTGTTAGAGACTAACTTTTTAAATTTTAATTACCTTAGCTGTTTCAGTATTTAGAAGCCAACGATTCCGTCCTGAAGGGAAGTAATGGGAAAATGTGGACTATGAGAAAACCCACCGGTGTGAATCCAGACTGCCTTTGCAGTCTGTGTGGCTCTCCAAACTGTGACAGGATTGTGCTGCGAGAGCTCAAAGGAGTCGGACACAGGACTGGATGCAGAACAATTCCCAATTTCCATTCTTCACATTCCTTGAGGACTATTTTTCTTTTTTAAATTGAGAACAAGTAACTATGGAACATGGGTCATTTGGATAGCTGTGCAGATATGAAGTTGATCTCTCAACTGTAGCAGGTATCAGGCTATAAAAGGAAAGAGATAAGGAAGCCAAATGCAGAGCTCCCCAGTCTAGGTTTACCCTGCAGGATAAAGGAGACCTCTGAGTTCCGACCTAAGTTGGAAGAACAAGCAGAAACAACTGGAAAAGCAATTGACAAAGCCTCCCTTGATGACATCCTTCCTCTGTCCTTATCCCTTCATCCTCACTGCTATAACAAGCACCTTTCCTGGAAACAGGAAACCCCGTGAATCAGTGATCTGTACCAAAATTTAATTTGCCCTACCAAATTCAAAAAGGCACCCAAGGGGTACAACTCTCACTTGTTTCAATGTTTTCTCTGGATGTGCACATTTCATCAGGTAAAGAAACCTCCCAGATTTTATCTCAGAACCACTTAAGGACATATTCAAAAGGTCTGAGGATCAAACAAAGCCACCTATCCATAGCACATCCTGCTCACAAAAGTGTCCCAGAAACTCAATATAAACAAGATCCCTCTGTTCATTTCTAGGAGATAATACAGCTTCTGTATCCTACAGTCTGCCTTATATACCCACAACAACTGCGTCTTCTTCCTCTACTCAAACAGAGCATCTGTTGCTAACAAAACACTGCCGTCTAAGTCGTTTCCACAGACAAGAAAAGCAGCTGGTGAAGCCGACCCATGTGCTGACCAGCCAGCATCAAGCTCCTACGAGATGCCCAGTTACGTCTCTAGTGTAAGGCTGCCTGGGTCACAGCGCTCGTTGTCCTCTTGCCGTCAGTATTTAATAACCGTTTCTTGGCACCACCTACTGAAATAATTTCTTAAAAGATACACAAGTAGAAAATACACCTTAAAAATTAAAAAAGTCTAGACTGAATTTGCAAAGGAAAATGTTATTTTGAGGCTAAGCTTAGAGATTAACAAACGCTAACAGATAATACTGTTAGGAGGTTTTCTTGAAACGGACACAAGGCTCATAACTCTTAGTCAGTGGTCATTTCTATTTTATAGATGAAGAGATGGAGACTAATGGCAAATTATCCAAGTTCTTACGGCTTGTAGACCAGAGAACCGGCTCTTCTTAATAACTCACAACCTACATCCCAAGGCCTACCTTGCCAATTACAGCATGCAACTCCCTCCTCTACAGACTGAGGTATCCTCTCTTCTACCATGTTAATTTGAACATTCTTTGCCAGGAAACAGCATCTAAATCTCATGCTATAGGGACACTACTGTCTTATGTAATAGACAGGAACATTCAGCTTAGTTCATTACTATTGGAGGCAAGTAACTTGTTCTACAGCAATTCATTGAATTAGGAAGCTTGGGCTGACAGCAGGAGTTACAAGCATTAACGCTGGATATCCACTGTGAGCTATAAAACAAGTTCTCTTCGTTAGAAACATTACTTGATACCTCCAGTCAAATTCAACATACTTCCAATATTGAAAGTTGATTTCCAGAGTTATTCCAATAAGATACATTAGCGCTAATTAAAAAAAATCTAATTTTACCTCTGGAGAAACTACATATGGTGCCCTGTGGGTGCACAAATACGCCGTCTAAAATGAGAACACCTTGGCTCCAACCTTAGGAGCTTACTGGCACAACCTCTAGCTCTTGATTTCTCGGTGTCTCCTGACAGACGGTCTAAGTTAAAACACTTTTAGTATTTTACCGTGCGTGGACTATGTTAGTACAAAATATTCATAAGCTTTAAAATACTGTTTTCGTAATGGAATATTTTATCCAGTTTTTCTAATATTATTACAATTTCCTCACTTTTAGAGAACAGATGACAAGACAGACTTATTGGTGACCTGCTCTGTAGACATAGCTAGCAAATGCACCGTACCCTGCACCTCACCTTTCTGGATTCCCAAGTTACCTGCTCTTCCGGTTGACCTTTGCTAATGCCCATTCAAATGCCACATGCCTTTCCTCTAATATGCCTTGCGACGTCTCACACGCTTCGGCGGAGAATGTCTTAAAGTTATACATATTCAAAATATACAAAATTTGTCATATATTCTAAGTATCTTTAAAAAGATATCAGAGTAATAATTCTGGAGATAATAATCGGATATATACCCAAATGGGTTTCAAGGCAAGCACACACAATGGAATCACAAACACGACTGTTAAATACTGCAATAGTAAAAGCTTGATGCATCATGTTATTCACGCCCCACATCGCCAGCAACTCCTCAAGAAGGCGAATCCAGTTCAAAATTGCACAGTTGTGCTATAAGCCTTTTCTGCACTTTCTATTCAAATAAAAAAAAAAAAGGCTTCTTAGATGTGCCCTTGTTTTCCCTGCTGCATTATTAATAACACTTTTTTCCCTTCCCTATACCGGAGTATATTTCAATTACACTATAACCTAACAAAGAGAGTAGGGTGGTTTACTTTTCTATACAGGGATTATGATTTGAACGTTAAAAATTCAATTGCAATCGTATTCAATACACTGGCTATATTCTTCAAGTATTTTACTTAATCAATAAGGCTACTCTGTAGATCTTTCCTTAACTTGTTCTCAAAGTGTTAAACATTCCACAAGACCACTAGGTAACTGTGACCAGCTACACCAACTGGCGGGCGAGGGTGGGGCAGCTGACAACTGTCTTTTTCCTCAATCAGGCAAACACTGAGATCTGCTTATAAATAAGCCACGAGCAAGGCGGTGGGCAGCGGTACAAAGGAGATTCGGTCCCCGGACCTACAGAGCAGGGACCATGCCCAAGAGAAGCAAAAGGACACCAGCTCTGGAGCCGGCGAGGAGGCCCCCACGCGAGGCAGAGCCAGGACACGCCTGCCGAGGAGGGACCCACCCTGGGAGCACGCTGCGGGCTGCGGGAAGAAAAGGGCCTAGCGTCCGCAGAGAGCGGCGGGGACCCCCGTGCGGCACGTGGGTTCCTCCCCGCAGTCCCCGCCCGAAGCCAAGTGCTGGACAGAGGTCGGCCTGGGTCACGGGCGAGGCCCCTGCAACCCGCGGGCTCCCGGGACAGGTCGGGTCGGCTCGGGTGGGTCCCAGGTCCCAGGCCCGGCCTCGCCCTCCACCGCCGAGCCCCGCGCGCCCCGCCCACCCACCCGGCCGGGCGCCCTGGCCCCCCGCTTACTTTCTGCGAGTCCATGGCGAGGGACTAAGCCCTCCGGGCCGATCCTGTCACCGGAACCCAGTGAGGAACCTGAGGAGCCTTTGAGACCCGCTACCTACGTCCGCCGCCTGCCCGGTCCCGTCCCGCAGAGGTCCCGCCCGTCCGCGCCCAACCCGCGCGCGCACCGCTGCCGAGCCGCGGTTGCCAGGGTGAAAGGGAGGCTCGCGGCAGGGCGGGGTGCGAGCGCGCCACGCATGCGCATGCGCGCGCTGGGCCACCCGCACCCTTGGAGGATAAAGCGCTGCCTGTCCGCCTGCGCCTTCCTTCTACAGCTGCGTCCCTGCTGGCATCCCTTTTCCTGTGCCATCGCTGCTGTCCTTGCAATGAACCATTGGGCACCTAGCAGCCAAGCCTGTGCGGAGGGCCCGGGAGCTAGCTCTGCCCAGGATGCGCCTCGCACCTACAGCATCTCTCCACCTGCCCTTGGAGGGGCAGTCGGGATTGGTCAGGCCCAGGTATCCAGCAGGAGGAAGTACGCTGGAATGAGAGGCAGCGGAAATGTGGGGAAAGGTCTTGAGCGGGAATGATGGAAACCTGAAAGAGATCCAGGACAAGGAGTAGGAGGAAGTTACAGAATGTGGGTATGGGACTATATGGACTTTATGGCCTGGCCGCCCCTGCTCCTCCTGAGCAAGACTTTCTCCGTGATCCTGTATCATCGATAAAATAAAAAAAAGAGGAGGAGGAGGAGGAGGAGGAGGAGGAGGAGGAGGAGGAGGAGGAGGAGGAGGAGGAGGAGGAAGAAGAAGAAGAAGAAGAAGAAGAAGAAGAAGAAGAAGAAGAAGAAAGAAAGAAGGAAGGAAAGAAGGAAGGAATGTGGGCCTTGCCAATGACTGTGCAGATTAAATACTGTGTCAGAACTGCCCAAGACACAGCGCCTAAGTAAATGACAGTGAGACAACAAATTAAAATCTGGTCAGCACGGCCGGAGCAGGCAATGAAGATTCTAGAAAGCTTGGGATGAAGACAGGAGGCTTGAAAAGGTTCTCCAGAGAGACAGGCTTCATATCCATTTAGGTGACTCGAGAAAAAAAAAATTTCATCTGGGCATCCACATACCAAAGGAATAAAGGAGAAATGATTATTGAGTATTAAGTAGCAGTTCTACGGCGGTTCTCAAAGAACTTACGCTCCAGTCTGGGAAATGACAACAAGAAACCATGAGGCTGTTAGAAAAGAAAGTCTGTAAGAGAATCAGGGAGGGGCGTGGGTGGGTGGATAAAGCTCTTGAGTGGCAAGAGCGAGGATCAGAGTTTATATACCCAGAAACTGGTACCCACATAAAAGCCAAGCAACCACAAACACACTGACACACAGGTGCCCCTGTTCATGTGCCCCCACATTGGAATACACTGACGTACAGCACACACACACACACACACACACACACACATGTGAAACCATTTCACAAAGGAAATTTCACAAGGCAAATGGAAGAAATAAAGTCAACAAATAAATTGCATGGAGTTAACGGGCTCCGAATAAGTCGGGTTCAGTTTCCTGCCATTACTCCACAATGACCTGGGTGAGAGTTACGAAATGGTCTGAGGAGGCATATCTAGTCGGAAGAACAGTAAGAACCAAGGCCTTGAAGAGGCGTGAGCGTTTTTGAGGAATCATACTTACATTGCGATGTTATAATTATGTCTTTACCAGAGCCTTTCCAACTATATTGTGACTTCTTAAAACCAAATGTCTTTTTACCGTACCTGTATCCGAAAGGGCAGGGGACAGCCCAAAGACCCCTTCTGCATGGAACAGAAAGAAATGTAAGGAAAGGGATAGAAGACACAAAGGAAAAAATGGTTTCATTCTGGCCAGGTAGACAATAACTGGAAGCCTGGGACTGAGGAGAGCATACAGACAACTTCATCCTGCCAGCTGAAAGGAGGAGTGGCATCGGTCTTTCTGAGAAGCCCCCTCTTGGTATTAAGGGACGCTACTATCCATACTGCCCACCCCCATTACTTGGAGAGCAGTGACAGAAGCCAGGCGTCCACCCATCAACCCAGTGCTGGTAGTTCCAGGGGCCGCTCTGAACACTAGAGCTGAGTCATTTTCTATGGGCGAGAGATGAAGCCTGCAGACAGGAGGACATCGGAGGTCAAACCACTGCCCTTGATTGACACCGTGGACCCAGGATGAAGGGAAGGAAAGAGCATTTGGTCTCATCTCCAAAGCTTCACCTCACTCCTGCCACAGGGGAGCCCCTCGGCACTTTTTGAGTGACGCCACTACCAAAGGAGGAATAGAGAGGGTTCTGAACAGTCGCCCTGAAATGTGATCTCCCAGACTGTCACAGAACCACACCTTAGGAGCTCATTTCTGGCTTCTTGCCCTAGTTTCTGTAGCTCTTTCCCTTCGGGCCAGCCAAGCAGCCTGTGGATTTTGACAACAGCTGTACCCCATTTGACCCCATGCTCTGATGAGCAGTGCATCAGTATACCTACCCTATTTGACTTCTGCCCTCAGCAGACCTCTGGTACCGCTTGTCTGGCTCCTCAGCACAGCTCATCCGGGACCATTTGCTGACCTCATTCTCAGTGGTCAGCTCCTTAGGGCTGTGATTTGTGGCCCTCCAGTCTACATAGTTGTTGCAATACTTTTCCCTCGCATGCTGGGGTCGTGAGGCTACAAGCTCACCCACTTGCTGTGACTTGGCACCCCAGGCTTTTCGTGTGATTATCTTTGCATAGCAAATCCGGTGAGGTTTTAAGTAAGGCAGGCTTCATTTTAAAGCAGTTGTCCTTAAAACTTGACCCCAGGACTAACTGCATAGGTATTATCTGATAACTTCTTAGACGTGCGCATTCACAGTCCTTATCCTCAGAAACTCCGGGGTCAGGTCCCGTAAAGCCATTTTAGCAAGTCCTCCAGATGGCACTACTGCACACTGGCATCTGTGAACCACTGACGGGAGAGGAAGTCTATTGCTCTTTAAAGGTGGGGAGGGACAGGGGAAACTGCAGCGCTGGCTCAGCACTTAGGAGCTCTAGTTGTTCTCCCAAAGGACCTCAGTCCAGTTCCCAGCACCCATATGGCAGCTCACACCTGTCTGGAATGTCAGATCTAGGTGATTGGATGCCCACGGGCACCAGACACTGAGGTACACATGCATACAGTAGGCAAAACACTTACACATATATGATAAAAATAAAAAGTTTGAAAAGTAAAAAGGCTGGTAAGATTTAGTTGTGAAAAATGCTTGCCACCCATGCATGGTGCTGGGAGTGGTGGCATGTCTGTAATCCCAACCCTTGGGGAGCAGAGATAAGAGGGCACCAGGGACTCGCCGCCCACTCAGCCTAGCCTTATCAGCAAGAGTTAGGACCTGAGCTTGTCTCAAATTTTAACTGGAGAGCAATGGAGCAGGATGCCTGATATTAACCTTTGGCATCCACAGGCAGGTGCACACAAACGCACATGTACATGTTGTACCTGTACACACATGTTGCACACAAACATGGTACACACACAGAGGAACAACAGAGGGGTAATAATATATATTGTTTCCAGACCGGAGTTCATGGCTCTGAAAAGACGCCCATCTCGTCCTGATTATTTGATTGACGTTTCTGGCCTTTGCTGACCTGCTTGCTTTCTGATGAAACTCCAAGGCAGGATGGTCTCATGGTTGACATGGCTAACGTCCAGCAAAACCGTCCTACTCCAAACCAGGTTCTTTGTCCTCTGAGAGATGCTAGGCTCTCCGTGCAGGCCTGAGCTTCCTCATGAGTTCTGGCGGGTGGGGAGGATTTCTTGATCTCCACGTCTCTGACAACCTTCCCCTTCCAGGCTCAGTCTAGCTGTGTCCGCAGGGACCATCAACTACCTACATTTGAATCCTGACCTGCTGCCTGCCAGCTCTCTAGTCATCATCAAGCCCTTGTCTTCACTGAGGTTCCTTTTCCTGGTGCATAGCATAGTGACCATGTTTCCTTTGGGGGTTTAGTGGGGATTAAAGGAGACTATGGATGGGAAACGTTTGGCTGAGTGGGTCTGTAACTGGTGGTCGCTGCTATTATTGCTGCTCTACACAGCATGTCCTTCAGGGCTCCTCGTGCACAGTTATTTGTCCACTCGTGTCGTGGAGCCTTAGAACCAGTTCCCACTCCAACTCCCCTGTCTTTTCGGATACCCACCACTAGCCAGGGACTGCTCTTCGTTGAAAGCTCGAATGTTCGCCCATTGCTCCCCGGACCTAGGGTTTCACCTTTACAAACCAGCCCGGTGAGACAAGCCTCTCTAAGCTTCCATTGCATCACCTGTGAAACAGGCCTCACAGCTTCAGCACCGGGTGATGGGTGGATTACATGGAATAATCCCAGTCAAGGGATTAGCTGTGTCTGACGTGTGATAAACAGCCAAAAAGCCTTTGTATTTACCGTCATTTCTCAACCATAGAAACCCAATTTTGTGCTTCCTGCCCCCTTCTAACTAAAACACAGATTCACCCCCAAAGCCCTGGCAGCCCTAGGCACTCATGAAATGACAGCGGCTCCTACAAAAGGGAGGTTGGTTATGTATGTCCTGAAGGAGGGTACTCAGGGGAGTGGCCTAGCTCACACTTAAGAGAGCTTTAAGCCACGTAGAAAGCAGCAGGCACCAACCAGAATGGTGAAGAACCAGAAATAAGGTGAGAAGTAAAGGATGTATCAGCATTTACTTTGTCTCCTTGGGGCTGGTCCACGGCAGAAGATGTCTTCTTCAGTATAGACTCAGACTCAGCTGCTGGAAACTATAGGAAGACAGGTTTCCTCTCAACAAAATGTGTAAAGCCGGGGTCCTCAACCTTACTAATGCTGCAACCGTTTGATCACAGTTACTCAGGTTGTGCTGATCCCAAGGCTCAGGGAACATTGCGGGGGGAGGGGGGAGCAAAAGCTGGAGAGCGCTGTCTTCCGCTGTCTTCTGCTGCTCTCAAGAACTCACAGCAGGTGAGCAAGAACCTGCGCAGACCAAGCCAGGCAATGACAGCAGCGTGGACTGGAGAGGAACTCACGAGGCTCTGCTCCAGCTCAGGAGCTTCTGGGAGCTGGTTATTGGGAGAGAAGGAGCCATGCTTCTTCAGGAGAGTGGCCTCTGGTAGGTGGTCATGTACATGCAGACATTAATAACTGGACTTAGTGGT